CTTATTCATATGGTTAGTGCTTGCATCTATTGCAGTGCTTTAGTATATTTAGTATTTTCTTCAGTCAAAAATTAAGTCTTTATATATATTTTCATATTTAACGATCCCTTGATCAGTTTGTTCAAGGTCAAGAAGAAAGCGCTTGTGCTCAAAGCCCCGTTAACTCTGCAAACTTACGCTTAATCTAACCACTATAATCAATTTGCTTACACTCTCTTTTGCTCTCCCCATTCGTAAACGTTGCAGCGATCAAAAGTGCATTGGTGCTCCGGCTTTCCGTATGCTGCCCGGCATCGACAATTGGTGCGAGATCAATTGCTTGCGCTATCCGCCCAACTGCCCGGAGACTGCCTGTCACTGTCCGTAAGTATACCTCTCTCTCTCTCTCTCTCTCTCTCAGTGCCTCTCTTGATGCGCTCTTTCTCTTTCGTTGCAGGCAAGAGTGCGTGGCCATTGGCGAGCTGGAGGGACGTGAAGGCGCCGATACCTACTGCATGGACGAGTGCCTCAATTACAAATCGGAATGCCCGCGCGATAGGTGTCGCTGTTTCTAGAGAGAGAGAGAGAGAGAGAGAGAGGGAGATACACACACACACACACACACAGAAACAGAGACAGATAGAGAGTGCGAGAGCGAGAGCGAGGTATACCAATTAGCTGTGCTGCTGCCCCATTGCCAGATGAAGACAAAGTTTTGACGAAATGTAATTGAAATTTATAGCTCCATTTGAATGCGAATATATATCTAGATGTACATCCCGATATATATAGACATATATTAAACCGATGAATGTGAATGTGAATACCAAGAGTTTTATTTTAATTTTCTATATATACTATTCCATGTACATCGATCTATTATCCATTTAGAGACTGCCTAGGCTATTTTTTTTATTCCTCTTTTTACTTTAATTTATTGTTTTGCTGTTGGGCTCCTTGGCCAGCTGGCGTTTGGTTCACTTGTGCTCTATGCCATCCTCGTAGAGGAATGGGCGCGTGAACGCCTCCAGCAGATCACGTTGCTCTCTCAGGCGTCGCAGCTCCGACAGGGGATCCGCCGTCGAGATGCGACGCACACGGAACAGCGTGGACACCGTTCCAGCGATTTGACTCCAACGTTCGCTGGCACGTGATTGCATCACGTTGGCGCACAGATAATGATTGCGTCGCTCCTCCACTGGCTGACGGGTGGCACGAGCATAGTTCGCTGCAGCAGCTCCGGCAGCTGCTGCCGACATTGAGCCTGTGCCGGTTCCGATTCTAGTTCCGATTTCGGCATTGGTACCGCCTACAGTGCCTGCCAATGGGTGGCTCTTTGACGCTAATCCCGGTGCCATTTTGAATGGCTCGCTGCGTATAAGGACCTCGGCCATCTCCTCGCGAGCATCGTCCTCGGAATCTTCGAGCGGCAGAGCCGCACAGCTGCCGCAGTTGACATCGCTAACGTGGGCAAAACTGGATGCAATGCGTCTCAACGAGGCGGTTGGCGGCGGTGCAGCCGAGGTCGGATGGACAACGTTCTGAAAGGGATTTGACTCGGAGCAGGAAGTGTGGGCGCGACTGCGCAATCGACCCAAATTCATGTTGGATAGCTTGTTGCCGTAGCTTGTGCGCAGCTCGGCGCGCTGGCGTCGCGCCTCCTCCGAGCCAATCGCCAAATTCTTGCCCAGCGGCATGCTCCTGCTGCTGCTCCTGCTACTACTGCTGCTCCTATTCCCACTTACTGGGATGCTGTGGCTGCTGCTGCTCCTGCTGCTGCTGCTTCTGCTGCTGCTTATGCCAAATTTAGTATCAATCGACACTTACCCAAAAACTTTTGCCGAAATGTTCACTGTGAATTTTGATCAGAGACTGCTCTGTTTCAGCTCCATTCCAGCCACCAGCCACAGCAAATCCAAGGCCAGCCTCGATAACATATTCCAGCTCCAAGTTCTGTCCACCTTTCGAAACAAATGGGAAACGAGTTATGAGACTCGAAGTGGATTCAACTTACCTCGAAATGAGCGTATAAGTTAGAATATAAGTGAGAGTATAAGAAGTAATATAAGAGACTATTAATAGTCGAAGTAAAGCAGAAATAGAACTAGAAATAGAAGTAGAAGCAGAAGCAGAAGTAGAAGTAGAAGTAGAAGTAGAAGTAGAAGTAGAAGTAGAAGTAGAAGTAGAAGTAGAAGTAGAAGTAGAAGTAGAAGTAGAAGTAGAAGTAGAAGTAGAAGTAGAAGTAGAAGTAGAAGTAGAAGTAGAAGTAGAAGTAGAAGAAGAAGTAGAAGTAGAAGTAGAAGTAGAAGTAGAAGTAGAAGTAGAAANGTTGCTGTTGCGTCAAGTGACAAAGCGTTGAAAGCTATAAACCGTAAAGTGGGTCACAACATTTTTGTGCCTCATTGATGAGTTACTTGAACGGAAATCGGAAGTTGAGCTGCATGTTAAACAATGGATATATTATATAGGAGTGGGAGTGGCATCAAGACTGAGTAGGAGAAGTGGTAGAAGTAGAAGTAGAAGTAGAAGTAGAAGTAGAAGTAGAAGTAGAAGTAGAAGTAGAAGTAGAAGTAGAAGTAGAAGTAGAAGTAGAAGTAGAAGTAGAAGTAGAAGTAGAAGTAGAAGTAGAAGTAGAAGTAGAAGTAGAAGTAGAAGTAGAAGTAAAAATAAAATTGATAGTAGAAGTAGAAGTAGAAGTAGAAGTAGAAGTAGAAGTAGAAGTAGCGATTAGTCATACAGTTGAAGTAGAAGTAGAAGTAGAAGTAGAAGTAGAAGTAGAAGTATATACAATATTAGCTAAATGATAACGGTTCGGTACTTGGAAAAATATATAGTATATGTATAATAAATGTATTGTAAACGTGTAGCTTAAACATCTAGTTAAATAAGAACTGAATGCAATAGCCGCCTAGAACATCAACTTTTTCTTCTGAGGCAGAAAGTTGGTTCGGACTGTCGTCTCGACCAATTTACGTTTGAGTGCAGGCTTCTCGGTGTTGGCGCCCTCCTTGAGGGCCAATATGGACGACGGCATGGGCAGCTTGGGGCCAACGGTGGGAGCAGGCTTATTGCGAAAATAGGGCATGCTCAGCGCCTCCCGGCACGAGCAACGCTTGAGGGGATTCATGGCAAACAGACGGCGCATCAGAGTGATCATATCATTGCCGGCGGCTGTGAAGATATTCGGTAGGGGTGTGCCCACAAAGTGACGGAACTGCAGATAGTCGTGGAGTTTGCTGATATACGGCCATTCGGCTTCTGTGGGTGTGCCCAAGACGCTGAATATCCGCGTCAGCTGATCCAGATCCGAATCGCCGGGCAGAAAGGGTACACGCAACATCAGCTCAGCCAGTATGCAGCCAACGGCCCACATGTCCACACCGGTTCCATACTGCCGGGCACCAAAGAGCAGCTCCGGCGAGCGATACCAGCGCGTGACCACATGATGGGTATAGATGCGATTGGGCGATCCAAAACTCTTGGCCAGACCGAAATCACCAATTTTTAAGATGCCATCGCTGTTCACTAGCAAATTATTGGGCTTCAGATCGCGATGCAGGATCCAATTGACGTGCAGATATTCGAGGCCACGTAGCGTCATGATCGCATATGCCTTGATGTTCGCCTGTGTGAGTATGATCTTGTTGTCCTTGATGATGACCTCAAGGTCGGTGTCCATGAAATCAAAGACAAGCGACACATTCGACAGCTGGCCAAAGACATCGACGAGTCCAATGATGTTCTCGTGCTGCAGCTCTTGCAGTATCTTAATTTCGCGCAATGCTGTGCGATTGATGCCATCGCGTGCCTCGTCACGGCTGCCCTTCTTAATCTTCTTAACGGCCACAATTTGGCTGGTGACGGTATCGCGCGCCTTGTACACAATGGCGAACTACAACAAAATGATGGTCAACTCAACATGTGCGCATATTCAAAATGCATATTTAAGGGATTGCTTACCTGACCCTCGCCCAGAAAGGACAGCTTGGCATAGCGATCCTTTTTGTCATCGCCCAGTGGCAGCATTTGAGCGTTTATTCATAAAATATGCTTTGACAAACGCTAAGCTGCAGGATTCGCCCAGCGAACTGGCGAATGCGCTACCAACAGTTTGTCAAGTTATATCGATGAGCCATATTATGGCGATGATTCGAATTATATCGATGAGCCGGCTCTTTTAGCGATTGAACAAATTATATCGATGTGCCCGCATTATATCGATAGACAGATACCAATTGTGGAATATTTGTGCTAAAAGCACGGTCGCAGTGAAACGAGCACAGAAAACTCAACACATCGATATGTTTGGTCGGCATGACTGCCAAATTAATCCATAATAGAAGCAATACCGTGGTCATTTGTGTCCGTGCTGTTGAAAGAAACATCTAGTTTGTGTGCTCTTTGCTAATTGTTGAAACAGAAAGAAAGCCAGCATGTAAGTAAACCCAAAATCAGCTATAAACCTTAAGAAGTGTACTGTAAAAGACATTCATGACAATTTTCGCAAAGCTTCTCGCAAATGCATTTGATGACGCCGCCTCTGAAAACTATCGGTGGACGACGGTCTGGGGATTGTCACTGCCTACAAATGCTCATTTCAATTCAATTGAACATACGTTTCTGCATGTGTGCATAAAACTCGAACTCGCCCATTTGCAGAAACTGCTGCTAGCTAAATAATTATTTGGCTAGGGTTTTAATTTTTGTTTGTTTAGAAGGCCGGCGACACGACGTGGTGAAGCCGCGTGCGCTTTGCTCAGATTCGGAACACTGTGGGCCATGCCAATGTGCAGCAATGCACACACTCACATTCACATTTACACATTTACAGCAAATGTGAACAAACATCAGTTCGCATAATTTGTTCATTTGCAAACGCCAAATACATCTGATATACCCGACAGAGCAACCCAGCAAATAATTGAGGTTAAAAACGAAATCGCAAATTTTGCGTCATGTTTCAGACTAGCGCGTGTATTGGCGTCTGTTAGCCGTATGTGTGAGTGTAAGTGTGTGCGTGTGTGAATGTGTATGTGAATGTTTGTCTGCAATAGCCCAAGTGTGTATATACAGGTGTGTGTGAGCCTATGCGCTACCATTTGTTATTCGGCAGTATAAATAATAATACGGCACTCGCCCAAACATTTGCATTGCTTTGCTTCTCATCTGCATTAACTGTGCATCGGCACTTGGCTTGCTCTCATCCATATTCCCTTTGTGCGTTTACATTTTGGCGCGCTTTAGTTGCGTCCCTGCAGCCACTAGCTTACATTGCGCTTGCTCGCTCGCACATTCAGCATGCTGCGCTGCTCTGGCTCTTGTTCTTGCTCTTGCTATAGTGTTTAGTATCTGCATGTGTGCCTGTGTGCTGCGTCTGTGCCCAAGCTACTTACACGCATGTATGTGTATACATATAGGTATATACATATGTATGTGTGCGCTGATTCAGCTGAGAAAAGCATTTCATCGAAATCTGTAAGTTATGCTTGTATGACATTCGATTTGTTTTCGTTTGACTCACATTTCATATGCGGAATTGCGTCTATTAGCATCTCAGAATTCATTAAACATGAATTTGTGCATATGTATGTGTATGCGTAGGTGCTTTTGCTGTATGAAGATCTACGCTAATGTGAAATTTGAAGATGTGTAGATTGTCCGGTTCAGGCCAGAAGACTTGTTCACTTCTTTTTTGCTTAGAAATATTTGTTAAGAATTATTATTTAATTCTTAATAAGTTCTTTTTGCACTGTCCTCATCCGAAGAGCTATCATAGGAGCTGCAAGTCTTTAAGTGATAAATGACGAATATTTATAACATTTGAATTTCATTCTGTTGTTTATAGATATTTTCGATTCAGGATATCGAGTTAACCCAACTGAAATGCTTATCTGAGCAAAAAATTTGTTTATTTGCTACGACGATCGCCAATGGAATTAGATTTATAAACAATGTTCGCAAGATCTCCATGGCATTTTTCTGTAAAATGTTTCTCCTTATGTTCTGCTGAAATATACATATGCATAAGGGTTGCATTTGTGAGCAGCGAACGTATCATTCTACTATTTACGCTTACATAAATACGACAAGAGCAACAACAACAGCAGCGGCAACGACAGCCTCCTCTCACGGCATTGTCGCATGCTACCTGCCTGCACACAAAACACACACACACACACACACACACACACACATACTCATACGCATGACGGCAGCTGCAGTTTTGATGCCCTATGATTCGCTCTCTTGCAGTGGCTGCTTCCTTCCTTTCTCTCGCTCTCTCGAACAGCTGTTGTTGTCCTTTGGCGCGCTTTACAGCTACCTTTGCCGCTCCTGCTTTGACCTTTACATTTCATTTCTGGTGCGCAGCCCGCACAATTCACAGTCGCATTGCGCTCCTCGCACGCTTAACATTAACATCAGCCTCGAAGTGTGAAGAAATAGTTTCACAATTTTTTTTTTTTTTTTTACGCTAATAAACATTTAGAACTTGGATAACAAAAATAGATTTGTCTTTCCTCTTAATACATTCGTTTTTTTTTTTTTATTGTTGTTGTTTAAATCTATAATATTTGTGTTTTCTATCAAATCAAAATCGGAATCGTATCGAAAACTAATTGAAACATATTTCATTATTGTAAGCAGCAGTCAGCAAATCAGCAGCAGTGGAGAGCAGAACATAAGTAGAGCAGAAAAGCACAAGCGAAACACACAGGAAAACAAGTAAAACAGCAGAAACATGGCTCAGGAAGGACAGGATATGCCCACATTCAAGTGCGTGCTGGTCGGCGATGGCGGCACTGGAAAGACAACATTCGTCAAACGTCACATGACCGGCGAATTCGAGAAGAAATATGTGGCCACACTGGGCGTGGAGGTGCATCCATTGATCTTCCATACCAATCGCGGTGCGATCCGTTTCAATGTATGGGACACAGCTGGCCAGGAGAAATTTGGCGGACTACGCGATGGCTATTACATTCAGGGCCAATGCGCTGTCATCATGTTCGATGTAACATCGCGTGTCACCTACAAGAATGTGCCCAACTGGCACAGAGATCTGGTGCGCGTCTGCGAGAATATACCCATTGTCCTCTGTGGCAACAAGGTTGACATCAAGGATCGCAAGGTCAAAGCCAAAAGCATTGTGTTTCACCGAAAGAAAAATTTGCAGGTAAGTTTTTCTTATGTTAATCAAGCTCACTTTCAAAATTAATCGGTTCATTTTCTCTTTTGGCATGAGTAAAGGCAGTAAACAATGAATTAGACAGAGATGGAGCATAGCTGACAGGGAAAGAGAGAATGCTGCATAGTCTAGAGCAGTCTAGAGATAGATCGAGCATATGATTAGAGAGAATGTGATATATTGTTATTTAGCAAATATTGCTAGCATTTGTGCATTCAAGAAAAATAGTTATATATGTATTCACAGTTGTTCAGTGAAACATGATAGAAATGAATTCGGTTCTCGAATGTTGTTAGCTCATATAGTAGAAGCTTATGTTTCCTTACCCTTGTTATCCCTTCCTTATGCATTTTTTCGCTTTCTTAAAACAATTTGTCAAACAAAATGAAGTAAGATCGTCAAGTCAGCTCGAAAATTGAATACCAAAAATAAGAGATAAGGTATTCATCGAATGTGTATAAATAATCAGTAAGGCAAGACTTCTGGAATAGGAATATATACACAAATCATAATATGAGATGTATATTCTAGATTCTATAAATAGACATTTATAAATAGATATTAGATGTGCAGATCTTTCTGGAATCCAATAAATATAACCGTAAATGAGATATATATCGAATCGAAAGAAAGGAATGCATAGATCAGATTTGCAACCCAAATATTGAGTACCTTCTAGTTTGTAAATAATATCAAATTATGCAATGCATTTGTTTATAAACAGCTCAGAAATTAGGTAAGCAGATTATGTATGCATTCTACCATTGAATATAACTAGGTAATAGAATCCATAAAATATGAGCCATTGCAGAAATTGTATTGCCATATAAGACTTTAAGCTGTTGAGGTCTGTTCTATTTGCATTTCGATTTCCTCTAACTTGACTAATTCCCCATCCTTTTCTTTCCACTTGCAGTACTACGATATCTCTGCTAAGTCGAATTACAACTTTGAGAAACCATTCCTTTGGCTGGCCCGCAAGCTGGTCGGTGATCCAAATCTGGAGTTCGTAGCAATGCCGGCGCTGCTGCCACCGGAGGTCAAAATGGATAAAGACTGGCAGCTCCAGATCGAGCGTGACTTGCAGGAGGCGCAGGCGACCGCCTTGCCTGATGAGGATGAGGATCTATAAGCATATTAGTTTACAAATGAATTCAAAACAAAATATAATTGAGAGAAAAAAAGAAAAAAACCAACTTACAAACTAAGAAAAGAAAAAATAATAAAAAAAAAAGAGAATAAACGGAAATTTTGGAACAACAGCAACAGCAGCAAGATCAAGAACTCGAGCTTTGTGAAGAACAACAGCCGAACAACATGAGCAGAAAATGGAGCGCTGGGATTAAAATATAAGGAGTTGTATATCTACACTACACACACATACACATATAGCAGCAAGCACACACACACACATACACATATAGCAGCAAGCACACACACACACACACACAGAGAGAGTGTGTGTATTAGAGGGTTCTTTCCAAACATATTATCATGTTGATAATGCAGGTCTAATTTTTTTTTGTTTTTTTTTTTTTTCCTATACAGTGACGAGCAAAACTGTAATACGAATTCAATGTTGCAACTTCAAGGGTCTGTAGTTTTGCCTCTAATCTATGGCTGCTTAAGATCTTAAATTTATTTTGTTAGTATGATATTTAGCTGTCTTACCTGAAAATTTGAAGTCATTCGGCTGGAATAATTATAAGAAATAAAAATGTAAAAAAAAGTCAAATGAGTCAGTTTTGCACCCGGGTCATTTATCAGCAAATATATTTATTAATAATTATTTAATAATGAATGCATAGCTCTATTGACTTTTTTTGGTCATTAATGACTTGAAACTGTTAATATGGTCAGAGTATACAATAAACAACTATTTTGAGTCATATGGATAATCTCGGCATTAGCCTAGACCTCCCACAGTCCAGTCTGTTGACTCCAATAGTACAGTAAGGTAAACTATCAAGCGCGGTGGCTGCTCTCTTTTGGCTTAGGGGAGAATAAACAAAGATAGTGCTGGACCCGGGTGCAAAACTGTAACATTTGACTTTTTTACATTTTTATTTCTTATAATTATTCCAGCCAACCGAATGATTTCAAATTTTCAGGTAACACAGCTAAATATCATACTAATAAAATAAAGTTAAGATTTTAAACATCCATAGAGTAGAAACAAAACTACAGAACCTTGAATTTGTGTTACAGTTTTGCTCGTCCACTGTATATAATTTTAATTTCGGATTTCACTCATTCGCTTTTGGTTTGACTTCGGCTAGACTTTTTCGTGACACACACACACACACACACACAAAACTTATATGTTAGCCAGAAGCTAACAAAGGAAAATGAGAGGAGTATAAGAGAGCATGATACCCCCGAAGGCAGAAAATTAAAACAAACAAAACAACACAACAATGAAACATTAATTAAGAAAATTAAGCAAAAATTGTCTATGGCATCAAATTATCAGCTTAGCTAAATTGTGAAATTTAGAAGTCATAAATAGGTTACACTGCAACAACAATAATAATAATAATAACAACAACAACAACAACGGGAGGATTGACAACACTACAACAACAACAAATTATTGCGATTGAAATGGATGAATAAACAGCTAAGATTAATAAAAATGAAAACACAAAGAACTTGAATGAATTCGAGTTTAGTAATTTCAAGACATTTGCTTGATTGATTGAATTGAAGAGAGCCTTTAACAATGTATGTACCGTTATCCAAAGCTAAATATTGTAATTTAGGCTGATTGATTGATTGATGCTTACTAAATTGGTGTTGTTAGAGATGGGTCACTGATTGATACAGTCTGTATAATATGATCCCAGTATTGTATGATCCCAGTTTCTAATTTGCTTTACATTAAGTTAGCTGGAGCCTTGATTGACGTGATTAGCCGCAGTGAAGCCTGTATAATCCTAGTTTGTATTTTGTTTAATACTAAGTTTAGTTGTTGCTTGTTCGATTGATGGAGCCTTGATTGACAGGAAGTATTATATCTGATATAGCACTAAGTCCAGCTGTTGATGGATGGAAATGGCCAGTTGGAATATGGAATATGCACAGGAATAGGAAGGACACTTTTGAGCCAAACACGCATTTCTCTCTCTTGGCTGCTTGACTTATGGAGATTGATTAGAGAGTAGAGACACTTTGATAAGCAGTTGACCGATGCAGTTTGATAGCGTGATTGACAGGAACAGCGAGGACACTTTAAGCCATATAAACTAAACTTGTACAACCCACACACATATATATTGTATAGCACTATGTTTATCTCTGGGCTGATTGACGACGAGCACAAAACTTTTTGAGCACTACATTTAGCTGTCGCTTGGCTGTAGCTTGAGCGTTTGATTGAGAGGAATAAGAAGAGCGCGTTTTGAGATAAAGGACCAAAATTTATTGCATATTTGTGTTGAATGCTAAGCGCAATAGTGATTGTCTAGCTGTGGATTGATAACTTGATTGATTAATATTGGAATCGATTGATGTAGCAGCTGAAGAGCCGGCTGTCTAGGGGCACTTGACGCAGCAGGCGGGAAAGACGCCTGTGTAGCGCTGCTTGTTGTGGCAGGTGACTTTCTGGTCGCTGCACCTGTTGATCAGACGGGTTAGATCAAGGCACTATATATATGTACATATATCCAAGTCTGTACTCACTCCTCGACGACGGTCTTGAACGTGTCCGAGCAGATGGCGCGCTTCAGGCACTTGCCCTCCTTGCCGAAATCAACGTAGTCCTGGCCCTTCTTCAGCAACGGCAAATACTTGAGGAACACCGTCTCGTCCTCGGCATTGCGGTAGGTGCACACCGGCTCGCTCACTGCAGAAAGAAATCAGGACCAATATCCATTAGTTTAACTTTGCTTCGGATCGTGCAGCTCGGTCGGCCGGCCTCACATTTGTGCGACATCACCAGCTGCAACAGCAGCAACATCAGACCAACTATTGCCCAGGCGTGACGCATCTTTTGTTTATTGGATCTTCGGATCGACTAAAGCCCATCGGCTCAACCTGTTTGCTATATATACCCCCAACTAGATCCAGCAACTGATGCGCAAATTTACAATTCTAATTTGCAAAACCGACACACACACACACACACACGAAAATAAAAGTAACAATGCCGAGCTGCGGCTTTCCAGACTCGAACTGTGCGGTACAGAGAGCTTTATCATTAAGATTTCCTTGCGCTTTTTTCCCATATCTATTAAATCTCTGCAACTTTTTGCAATTTGTATTTACATTTTGATTAATATAATAATTATTTAAAAATAAAATCTGATAACA